TTCTTGTCTTAGATGTTCTCGGTGTCTGCTGACCCTTGACATCCGCGTTTCAGTCCGGGTTCATTGCGTAGTAAATATTTCGCTACCGCTTTCTTGTAGCTTTCAAATGCTTGATTGTTGGCTTCTTGTGTACGGCATTACATTCGTGGCACGCTTGAGACCGATTTTCGCTATCTACTTGCCTTTCTGCGGCAGCGCGGCTCGGCCGAGCCTAAACCGAAACCGAAACGAAGGTACCATTCGACCAGTGTCCGCGCAAATTGCAGGGCGCCGCCATGTTTATCTACGCTCGCTGCTGGATGTTGGCGGGATGCGGCAGGAATTTTTCTTACCCCGAATGCACCGACACATCGTGAAAGATGCCTTTACCAGAAGCCTCCGCGGCCGGTTCTTCAACAGGTAAGATGTCGTAAACATTCGAGAACCCATCTCGATCAAGAAAACAAGGGAAAACCTTTCTTGTCTTAGATGTTCTCGGTGTCTGCTGACCCTTGACATCCGCGTTTCAGTCCGGGTTCATTGCGTAGTAAATATTTCGCTACCGCTTTCTTGCAGCTTTCAAATGCTTGATTGTTGACTTCTTGTTTACGACATTACATTCGTGGCGCGTTTGAGATTGATTTTCGCGATCTACCTGCCTTTCTGCGGCAGCGCAGCTCTGCCGAGCCGAAATAAGTAGGAGGCGTTCACTTGATCGAACAACGTTTTAGCGACGGCTGTGTCTACAGTGCCGTCCGGCGGCACTCCGATTGCGCCTACAATTGCCGTCCGAAAGAGAGTCGGACGGCGTGTGTATCACTGGGGAGCTCGTTAACACATCCCTTCGCCTGCGTTCAAGCCGCTTCGCGGCGACAGTAGGCGGCTGCTAATTCCAAAATTATTGACCCATTTGGCCCCGTCGTACACGCCGCTTCGCGGCGTCCAGCCGGCAAACCAAGCCCCACCGTACCCTATGCACCTCCGGAAACGAAGTCCCATACCATTTCGTTCAGCGAAATTTCGGCGGCATTCGTTTTTTCCTGTGTTAATCGTAAAAAAAAATGAATGTAAATATCGCCAAATGCGTCGGCAAAATAAAATGTACGAGAAAACAAAAACAAAAAAGTAAGCCCGCACCCAGGATCACTTGCTTATCAGACAGACAACTTACCACTAAGCTACACTCCACTTCGAAAATCTTGTTTTGGGAACTCGTTTCGTACGAGACTTTTGGACGGCACTTGAACGCGTGAGTGGAGTACCGTCGGACGGCACTTCAACGCTCTGCAAGAGTGCCGTCGGACGGTACTCTAGACACTACGTTTAGCGAATGAAAACGAGACCACGACGTTTCATTGAATGAATAGCGAATGGCGGCGTTCATATTAGCGAATGGGTCTAGTTACATAGACAGCTCAGATTAGCTTTCACAGGCTAAGGGCGTCACACATGAGTATGCGCTTCTACGTACAGTCGACCGTAATTCGCATGCTGGCTATGACACACATGTATCAGAACCAGCTAGCTGCCCTCTCGTTTCACTCCGCATATTTAGATTTGTGTTTAGTTTTGTGATTGTCCGTCCTTTCTCGTGTTTCTTCCTCAAGTTTAATATGTCATGTATTTTTTTGTTTTAGCGTCCTTGGATCTTCCAAACCCCTCCACCATCCCGGAAAGCGGCTGGGTCGACAACATGAAGCTCTGGCCAGCTCTGCAGGAGCATCATATAACCTATTATTTGCTTAAAACGAAAGCTTGTGACTTGGAAGAGGTTCAGGCTCTGAAAAGCCTGGAATCTTATAATTATGTCGTCAGTGGTAAGGTGGGCCAGTTGCTGATACACCAATACTCTGAGCACGCTTGCATCATAAAAGGTGATGTAACTCCATCACAGTCGGAGAACAATGCACCCCATAAGCCATGGGTGTGCATTGGTACTGACTGTCGTGTGCTGACAGGCGCCTGCTCTTGCATGGTCGGCAAAACTCGTGTATGTAGCCATGTGGGTAAGTTGAGGGATAGTTGACCGTTCCTTAAAAGTCTAGTAATTTTTCACAGTTCTAAAATGTGCCATCTTTTGTTGCGAGGAACAAAATTGGACGTTCTCAAGTACATGACATATGCTTATGTTTATACCTTAGCGGAAACTTCAAGGCATCCCACCACATTTTTTGTTTCGACGTCATCCCATGATGTTTTTGGACAGCTGTTTCACATCTATAGGGTCCGAGCGAGAAAAGTAAACCATCCTTTTTGGAACGCATAAAAGCTACGCATCGCCGAACGCTGAAGTTGGAATGTAACCATAGCGGTCCCACCAAGATGCCAAAGTTTCAGAACGTAGTGCCATCGAAATAAAAAGTTACGAGTAATTATCGAAATTTTTCAATAGAAAAATGACGGCGGATGGAGGCTCACGGAGCTGACGGATGCATGGAGTTGAATGGGAGAAGCTACCGGGACGCGACCTCATTTTCTCAATTGAAATTTTCAAAAAATTGCTTATAACTTTTTAATTCATTGACTCGGCGCTCTAAAACTTCGGCATCTTGCTCGGACTGCGAGGGTTTCATTCTGGCAGAGTTTCAGCGTTCGGCGACACATACTTTTTTTTATGCAGGCCAAAAAAGAGGGTTTACTTTTCTCGCTTGGACCCTGTATTTTGTACCGCCTTACGAAGAGCATTTGCCAGATACATTGTTTCTTGAGTGGTCTGTTCACATTTTTTTTTGTTTTGTATGTTGCAGTTTGGCTTGTCTATTGTATGATGCATCTAAATTTAGCCCTGTGCTCATTCTATACAGAATTGCACGCAGGGTGCCCCACCACCACCATGCTTCTGGTGTAAACATGTGCATACAATTGCAAGCCTGCCAAAGCTGGCTCCATTGACATGTTGAAGGCACTGGTATTCATGTGCCGCCATGGTTGCAATTATGTATACAGTGTTCCACACAGAGAAACGGTCACACGAATGCATAGCTGCATGTTAAATGAATAGCATTTGAGGGTTTGGTATGTCGATTTGTAACCACATAGGAGGAATGCAGGTGGAAAGCTGGTACCCCCCTCCGGAGGCACCTTGATTTGCTGCAGCGGATAGAGCTTGTCTACGTGATTGTCGTCTCAAAGACTACGAGAATTATATGTAAACTTTATTTTCCATTTGCAGGGGCGCTTCTTTGGAAGGTGGAGTTTGCCGTTCGTAGGGGCCTGACCGGAACCTCGTGCACAGATGAAAGTGCACTCTGGAACTCTGGTACAAAGCGCAATGTGGTTCCGGGTCAGATTGGGGACATGAATTTCAAGCTAAAGAAAGAAATGGGAGAGCCAGTACCACCCCGTGAAAAGGTTCGTTTTGAGAAGTTTCAGACCCGCGAAGCGTATGTCCAATTTATGGAGGACTCCGTTGTGTCACCACTCCTGACAGTGCAGGGAAGTCTGCTCCAAGCAACAATAGTTGCGGATGTGAGCAGACTATAGCCTGACATCAGTGGGATGGAAGAAGATTCTTCCATAATTCATGGCTGCCACCAGGGTGTTGAGCCACTTTCGTCCAGTCCGTGTTTTTCTTTTTACAAAGAGTGGGTTTTGCTTGAGGAATCTGCAAGGGGTGCACTTGCAGAGATTACTTTAGATCAGGAAGGCGAACTGTGGAAGAGTAGCCGAAAAGTTCGGCTGACGGCATCTATCTTGTCGAAGGTTCCAAAAATGGCTAAAACCGCTCCTGACAACTTTGTTAACGGTTGCTTGCACTCTCAGTTCAGGGGTAACCAGGCCACCGAGTATGGTAGAATATATGAGCCAGTAGCTAGGGCAGCATTCTGCCAAGAAACTGGGCGAGAGGTGACCCTATGTGGCACTACTGTGAGTGCCACGCACCCCTTCCTTTCGGCGAGTCCGGATGGCCTGGTAGGACATGACAGCATCCTGGAAATTAAATGCCCCCAGACTGACAACTGCAAAGTTTACATTAGCGAAGCAAAGCACTATGATGTTAAAGTCGTAAAAAGTGGGGATAAGGAGCACTACTTCCTTGCCAAAAATGGAAAGAATGGCTACTATTTCCAAGTGCAGTTCACCATGTTCTGCACTGAAAGAACTCGCTGTTTTTTCTATGTGTGGTCGAGGCTAAAGACCGTCCCCTTTGAAGTTGATTATGACCCAGACTTTGTCATTGCTCACATCGCCCGGTTCTCAGATTTTTATTTTCAGCACTACCTGCCAAGACTGGTGGACGCCATACATGATCGTACTGTCATTCTTTCAGACGAGTATCGCACGTTAGCCAACATGCATTAAGCTTTCTCACTAGAGATTAGGGAACAAAGTTGGGCAGCTTAAAGTGTGTGAAGCTTCTGTCGCAGCACGGTTCAAGTCACCATTTCTGTTTGCTTTATGGAGCAAGTGACCTGTAAATGGCTGTAACCCTTTTAGCACCAAGAGATATAGTTGCATGCCTGTATACCAGAACTTATCTGGCTTTATTTTGAGTTGCATGAAGAAATCTCTGCAGTTGTTTCGAGAAAAATAAAAGATCCAGAGTTGTGTGATCATAGAGATATCATTTTTCAATCAGACAGATAAGGATGCTGGTTCTCTGCAATTCTTTGCAGGAAACCCTGTATATTTTATTGTCTCAACTAGAGGCAGAAAATGTGTGCACGAAAAACAAGTGAACATGGGCAGAAAAACAAGGTGAAGCCGCAGCTAACAATTCACAACTTTGTGTCACAAACCCTTTCAACTAGGGTGCCTTCATGTGTGCTTCACCTAGGGCGATGTCAACTGCTTGCTCCCCCCCCCCCCCTTCCAGACCCTCGCCCACGACTATTTTCTTGCTCCGTTAGTTTTGTCTTGCACCTGGAAGTGGCTTTTGTGCCCATCGGTCCCCGCCTTCAAGGGGGAGAGTGCTGATCTTCCCCCCATGGCTGCCACAATGCCATGCTCAGCTTGAAAAATAAGGTACTTGTTTTTACGGTGGGGTTATTTGCAAATACAGACAAGTCATCGCTATCTGGTTATGGCCATATGAAGCAAAGAAATGCAGAACTCTCTCCCATCTGGATGGGCAGGAAAAGCTGACATGCAAGCAACACTTTCTTTTGATCATCGTCCTGCTCTCTCTTTCGCTTTTGCGGATCTTGAGCTGCAATCAATGCCCCTTTCAGGTTACACAATCCAGCACAGACCAAGATGATCTTGTTCATGATCTTCTTGTGGTGGATTGGCAGGGGTTGCTTGAGAATTCGATAGGTCTTAACCCTTCCGATGGCTCTCTCGACGTGGATTCGTAGCCTGGAAATTCTCCTAGATTCCGTCGCTTCCTTTTCAGTTATCTGCTTTCGTCCTCTAGTGAAAGCCGGTATGTTTAGCGTCACCCCCTTCTCTCTCATCTCCGCACTCAGGCTGAACCCCCTGTCTGCCATCACCTGATCATCGTCGGAGAGGTACTCGGCAAAACAAGAGTCCTCCACTATGAATTTGTCAGATGCTCGCCCTCCGTACGCACACGACACAAACATGACAAATCCACTGGGTGCAACAGCAATTAAGAACTTTACTGTGTTGCGTCCCTTATAGTAACTAAAGGACTGCCCTCTGGCGTACAGCCTTTTTGGCATTTGCAGAGGTACCTCACTGCAATCAATGATGACCGTGGTGTTCCTATATCCACCTTCAATGAATTGCACAGGCATGGTTGCCAGAATCACCTCCTTTGGTAGCCACACTATCACTTTGGATAGGATGTCTGCCAGTACGCTCATCATCTTCCGGAACACCTTTCCGACTTGGCCAACCGAGATTTCGAATCGCCGCGCAAGGTCCCCATAAAGTAGTGACAGACGCAGGCGCATCAATGTCATTAGGACTTGATCCCCAATGCTCATCGTGCCAGACCTGTGCACCGCACTAACACTAATGACGAGTTTTGAAAAAGCGTCAAGGTTAAGGCCTGTGTAAAAGGAACAGTCCGCTTGCGACAGCGTTTCATGGAGCGGCAAAGACACTGTTTGAGTCTCGGCTGACTTGGTTATTGTTTCTGCTTTTGTCGCATAGCAGTGCTCTGATGAGACGTAGCTGAAATTATCTTCCCACTGCGTAGCGCAGTCGACCATCTGAGGTCTTGCTTGCACACTACACTCGATATGTACTAGGAGCTGCACCTGGACTAGCACCCTCTCGCTCAGGGGTGTTTTCTGGCGTCGAACTAGGACATAGGTGAGACAATTCAGTTAACGGAGGTGCAGGTGCAGGCAAGATCTCTGACGAAAGAGAACCGCTGTCCGAGTCAAAGTCGTCGGGTGTCAACGAAGAGTTAGCGGTACACGGCGTGGTGTCTTCATCACTGGTAGTGTCAACTGTTGAAACTTCAAGGCCTGCTGGGCGTGCTTGCGGGTGCCTTTGAAGCTGTCGCCTGCCAGGTATCACCTAAAATGTAAATTTTATTGATGTCATTCGACATGAAACTTCTTGAACTGAACCTGGAAGCCAGGGGATGCCCAATGCTTCCTAGTATCCTTTGTCCTTAATTCATTACTCTTACTTAAAGACCCAGTCTCCAATGCAGGCCCTTTCCCCTCGATGCCCCTGGGAATAAAATCGGGGCGTGTGTCCGATTTTATCGGACACACATCCGATAAAATCTGTTTGTTGTTTAACGAGGGGCCCCTGAAGCGATGCAGGCAGGCCTTCTTGATAACTTCTGGAGCACTATCTATACCTGTCTGAGATGGTGGCCTTGCAGCGGTGCCTGCCATGCCTACCCACTTTTTCTTTTGAACATTACGCTTGCCAAGGGTGCAAAACTCTGAAGCAATGAAGGAAATGTCAAGTTTTCTAGATGTAATCACTGCCTTTCAAATTCTGTTTCGTATTGCGCTCTTAGTCTTAGTCTGTGTTTGAAAATGGCGGGTCAGCTGTATGGAAGCAGTCCAGCAAGCGTGGAATGGAGCAGAGATTATATCCCGGAGCATCGGTGAGAACAGAATACTGTCTGCCCCAAGGAACTCTTGTGGCATATCTCACCGGATGGTTGTTTCCTACTGCAGCCCAGGGAATTGAAGAATTTGATTTGAATTGAATTGAATTTGGGAGAATTGTACCTTGGTCTATGACGAATCGAAGCAGCACAGTTTTATGGAGCTGCCAACTGAACCTCCTTTGGACTGATTGTTGAAGGGGCTCATTTATAGTCTGTTGTGCACCAGATCTATGGAAACGGCTTGCAACTCAACTGGTTCGGTGGCCGTATCTCCAATTCCGGCACCGCCCAAAAGGGCCGACGTGACAATCAACAAGAGAGATGCTGCGACGCCTGGTCATGACAAAGGGTTTTTAAGCGACCTTTGACAACTTGGGTGGGACTGATAGAGATGAGCGATCCATAACTACAATTTTATTTCGAACAAGGTTTAGGTTATGTTATTATTGCAGCCGTGCAAGAGAACAGCTGTTGGGAATACCGAATTGGCAGAACATACAGGCATACAGACTGGGATGCCAGATATGGCAGAAAAACCGGAAGACCAGGAGAATGCCAACCATTTTTTGTGTCCTTCAGGCTTTATATCTTACTTCTGCCCCTTCATCCCCCCACTTCACGCACTCCGCGGTCTGGGCTTCTAAATGAGGTTGTGTAGCATCGCCACAAACTTACCAGCACACCAGCACTGCTTAATCACTTGACCAGAGGAAATAAAGCAAAGCACTAGAGATTACTAATTTTATTTACCTTTCTCTGGTACCCAAGCTTCAGCATTGGCGTTGGATTTATGGTCGTTGGCTTGCCATCGAGGAAGTGTACAGAGCACACCTGGGAAACAAAAATTTATATAGGATATTACGATGCGACATGAGAGACCACAAATATATTTGCTAGCTACGAGGTCATAAGGTCAACAACAAACAACAGTTATCGAGAAAAGAGTCAAAGTACAGGCTAGCTGGTGGAAGTCAATCATTTCGTCGTTTACCCTGAGACTGTTTTTTTTTTAAAAGAGCAGAAGTTACTTCTGCTCTTCTAAAAAAAACCCAGTCTCAGGGTAAACGACGAAATGGTAAACAACAGTATTCCTCAAAACTGGCTTGTGAACCACATCTGGCTCTTCGTGGATAGAAGTGCAGCTCTTGTGATTCCAGAACATTCAAAATGAAATATTGTTGAATGTTGATGGCATCGAAGTTTTCTACATGCAATCACTGCCTTTCAAATTCTGGTTCGTGTTGGGTCGGTGGGTATGGGAAAACATAACATTGATCAAAACAGTCCCATTAAAATGTCTTCTAGATCTTGTAATTCATTTCTTTCCAGCATGTAGAGCAAATTCAAGTGCCTTCAGCTCTTGGATTTGCTACACCTCTGTAGAAAACTCAATTGCTGAGCTGCAGGTGCTTGTATGGATCCAACCAAAAATATACCAAAACTCGTCATCCTAAAAAAAACACAAACAAAAACAAAACTACCAACTAGCCCAGGCTTCAGCCCTGCTTTTACTAAAGTTATACCAGTGTGTCTTATTTGGTTAATGGGATTTGATGAAGTGATCAACGCGGTTAGTGAAACCAGGACAGTTTTGAAGCGTTGGGCCCCCTTCATTTTGTTTGGAGTTTCTTTCCTTTTCTAAACTGTACAACAATGCACATATTTCTACAGGACAAAGATATCATTTGCACGCAAGTTGAGATGATTGATGTTACATATTTAACGTTCAACCTGAGCCCCCACTCGCTTTCCTGCAGCATCTGCTGCTCGTTCGTTCAGAATCGACTAGACCCCCACCTCTGTTGTATCCATCACGCACGCCAAACGTACGCATAGAAGAAAAATTGTTGCTACACTGGCACTCACTCTTGAGTTCTTGCTGGGAGTGAAGTTTTTTCTTCTGAGTGCGGCTGTCCATTCTTGTCGAGAAGCTGGATGGGACGGAAACTTGTGGAAGCCGTACACGTCGCATCCGCACTCGTCTCTTATGCAATTGTGTGACGGGCAGTGGGTTTCCAAAAGGACCCTCTGTTTCTTCTGGTTGTTTGTACAACCAACAACGGCACAGTGCCGTCCGGACGAATTGCTCTGGTACATTACACGGCGGTAAACAAGACCGACGCCGGCAACGTGCTAGTACTGGGAAAGGTCGCGGTCTATCGCCCCTTCGCCACCCCCCCCCCCCCCCACACACACACTGCGAGCGTCTGGGTTCGAAACTATTAATTGCCAGTTCTAAAGGATGGTACTTACTTGAAGTGGGAGCTGGAATTCTACGAGGTACCAGGAGACACCTACTATCGGGCAACGAAGCAGGGTGCCTGTGGGGGCGGAGTCTAGGAACGCTAATATTGTGACAGGCGATCAGTTATGATAACAGACAAAACTTCGACTCGTTTCTTCAGAAGTTCGCGGTGATATTTTATTAGCCCTCGTTACAGCACACCAAAGATCTTAGGCAGTGAAATTCACATCACGCAGGCTCGTGCGTCGTAGTCAAATGAGCGCACTCGACGACGAGGTGTAATGAGCTACTAAGCTTCACAAGGAAAATGCGCATGACAAAAAGTTTTGAGGCAGTCCAAAACACCGATCAAGCAGACGCACGTATGTACGCACGTTTACTCCGGAGTCCATGAACCCGACGGCGCAAGATCAAAGCGATCAAAGAGCACCGCCGCCATCACCACCCGGTTTTCTCTGCGCGACAACGGCACTGCAACGGAGGGCACTCGCCTCGGCGTTAACAATCCGCGAAATAGATGAATTTCCCACTCTTGAAGCCATTCCAAATAATAAATGAAAACACCCCGACGTTGTAGAACATCTGACGACACAAGGGTGCCGAGCGCGTGCTCGGCATCTTCGTTGCTCGTGAAGGCCTGCTTATTTGTAGTTGAGACGACGATTCCACATCTTTCGTGCCACTCGTGGTGCTTGCAATAACTTCGAAGGGCAGGGAAATCTTCTCACGAGGACGTTGAAGACACGCAACACCGGAGCCACCAAAGCAACCGTACAAACCGTCCCCATGTTTGCTTTTTCTTCGTCACTCGCGGCGCGGTCAACTCGTCGCGAGATGTTTTCTGGCTCGGCTAGATGCAAACCAACAGCGGCAAAGTGTCGTATGGACAAACGGCTCTCACATTACGGGCACTGTACTCACATACCGCGGTAAACAGGACCAATGCCGGCGAAACGGCAGTCGGTACACCAGCGAAGAAGCCCTGGCAGGAAGGAGCGGCGGAAACCGACGCAGCCCGCCCCCCCCCCCCCTTCCCCCCCCCCCCCCCCCCCCGCCGCCGTGAGCGTCTGGGTTCGAGATTATTGTTCGCCTTTGCTCCTTGCGTCGAGGCTAAAAAGAGCACTTCCGGACAAAGGTCTATAACATGGGAAGTAAATGCAACGGGGTAAATAGAGATAAGACTAGGCCTTAGGCAGGGTTGCCCATTATCGCCTTTGCTGTTCATGTTGTATCTGAGAGGATTGAAGGATAGACAAGAGAAGAGCGGGCTTGGATTCGACCTTTCGTACAGTAAGCTAGGCCAAAAAATTCAGCAATCCTTATTGGGATTGATGTATGCGGATGATATCGTACTGATGGCTAACAACAGGACAGAGTTGCAGGAATTAATGAGCATCTGTGGTAGGGAAGGAGAGGAATTAGGTTTAGAACTCAGTAGTGAAAAAAATGGAGTCATAATTTTTAACAATGATGAAGTTGAGAGGCTGAAGATACAGAGCTAGTAAATACAAGTATCTAGGAGTATGGATATTTGATGGTGCAGAATATCTTACTGAGCATGAAAATATCTAATAAGTAAGGGCAACACAAATGCAGCTGTAATGAAAAAGAAAGCACTTTGAAATTACAACAAGTATGAGGTGGTGAGAGAGATTTGGAAA